AAAGGACTGTATGAAGCTTATAATTGATTGAAAGTACCCTTGCATTTGCTGGAATTTTTATAAAATATCATCTTGATATTGAAAACATTGGAGGAATCTTCTTAATCATAGTTGGAGTCATGGTTGCCTCCCAGTCCGGATCTGAATCCCAAGAAATTGATATAACAATAGCTAATGTTAGGAAGTTCACATGAACGATCTTTTGAGGTTGACAGACGGTGCCAAACTATTGTGTCCTGGAATATTCGCGACGGTAGAGAAATATATAGTTTAATGTCTTAGCATTGTACGAAGATCCAGCACACAATCAGATAAGTGGTGTAACATTCATAAGAGACACCATAGTTTTTATGTGAAAAACCCCTAAAAAGATGGAAAAATTATGAGGCCTAGCCCAGTTGAAAATGATTCCACTAGAATTTAAGTTGGTTATAAAGGGCTGAATCGCCTCCAAGGGCGATCAGATTACATGTAGTAACTATTTTATAGGAGTCTGGTGTTAGACCCGTCGTCACCTGGAAGTTCGAGTGTTAGTTGGTAGTCTGGCCTTGAATAGAACTTCAGGCCTTGAGTAGAACGTTGAGCCTTCGGCAGAACGTCGGGCCTTCAGTAGAATGTCGGGCCATGAGCAGAGCGTCGGGCCTTGAGCAGAGCGTCGGGTCTTGAGCAGAACATCGGGCCTTCAGCAGAACATCGGGCCTTCAGCAGAATGTCCGGCCTTCAGCAGAGCGTCGGGTCTTCAGTAGAACATCGGGCCTTGAGCAGATTGTCGAGCCTTCAGCAGAACGTCGGGCCAAAATGTCGGGTTAGAACGTCGGGCCAGAATGTCGGGCTAGAACGTCGGGCCTTGAGGTGGTGGTGCGGCGAAGCTCTTGTGGTGGTCCGGCGAGGCTCCGGCGAAGTTCCGGCGAGGGTGAGGATCTCAGGTGGTGGTCCGGCGAGGTTCCGGCGGTGGTCCGGCGAGATACGATGGTGGTCCAGCGAGGTTCCAGAGGTGGTGCGGCAAGCTCCTATGGTGGTCCGGCGAGGTTCCGTCGGTGGTCGAGGAGGAGCTTCTTCCTTCTCGTCTTCCTTCTCTTCCCCTCTTTTCTTCTTGCTTCCCCCCTCCTTTGTGAATAATGAGAGCTCTATTTATATATTTTCTGGAGTGGCATAGCTCGTAAATAGGCTTGAGATCAGGGGCAAATAGGGAGTGGTCGAATGGACGGCCGATAGGACGGCTTGTATCTGCGTTTTGTTCCTCTTATGTCTGGTTGTTGGAGCTGGTTTCTTTGTTTGCTGGAGTTGGGGTTTAACTCCCTGTTTTGGCTGATGGTGGTGGGGGTTTTTCTGATGGGGGTTGATATTTTGAATCTGGGGGATTGGGAGGTTGTTGCTGGCTGTCTTTGGAAGGGGGTTTGTTTTGTGCTGATTGGGTTTCCTCTTGGTTGTGATGGCAGCGGCTGGTTGCCTGGGTATACTGGGAGTATCTCCTTTAATTATTTTGATTTCCTGTTTTTCCTTTCCTTCATGATTGTTAGCTTAATCTCTTTTCGAGTACCTTTGTTTGCCTGTTTTGTAGGTTTTTGGAGCTGCACGCTCGTTTTGTGCAGGGTACGTGTGCTGATTGTGAGATTAGGCTGCCTTTTTGGTTCCTTTATTGTGTTTTTTTGGGAACTCAGAATGTTATTAGGTCTCTCTGTATTTTTTCTTAGTAGGGATTTCGGGCTCTTAGGTTTTCTTTTTTATTTTGACTGTAGCTCTTTGAGCGGTAGTGAGCTAGAAATCCCTTTAAGGACTCTGTAATTTTCCCTTATATTAACACGTAGGCCCGTTGGTGGGTTTCCCCTATATATATATATATAATAAAAATAGAAAAAGAACTTAAATGACGATAAAAAATAGAAAAAAAGGGATGAAAAGAAAATAACATCCAAAACATTATTTTTTAAATATTATGTAATGTTACTATGAGAATACACAGCGGTATACAGTAGTACACAGCAGTGCATAATATAATACATAGTAGCATATAGTAGTACACATCACCAAAATGAATAAAAATTATCATATCAAAATTATTTCCAACAAAATTATTTAAATGAGTGTAGATTTTTTTCATTGCAGAACTGTATAACAACTAAACCGCCAAAGCCAAGCTACATAGGAGAAATCAGAACACTTTTTTTTTTGGGGGAAATTAGGGGGCTAAAAGCCCAGATTTCATTAAAACTGAGAACTAGTTACAAGAGAGGTATAAACCTGTAAAAGAAAAATGAAGCTTCCAAACGGAAGAAAATAAAATTACAGGAATAGCAAATACTAAAACTGGAGGAAGCTAACAAAAATCGGGCTCAGGGTATCATCCACGAGAAGGCAATACCCCGTGGTTGCAGAAGAAGCGTCATTATAAAGTCATTTAAGCATATGGCACGAAAAAATACGACCCCTGCCGTTCAAGGGGGAATAAAAACAAGACGAGACGCATGCTCAAAATGAGCACCTCAATAGTGTCGTATCCATCATCACCTTTGCCCTCAATGTCCGAACTCATGATTGCTCTCACCACCTCTGCTGCTGCAGCTAATAAAAAGCTTTATTATTCTCTAACAATTTAGGCTTCATTTGTTTTTTTTTTTGTGCTTTTGTAAAACACAGTTTTAAAAAACATTAGTTCATAAAATGGAGTTTTCTAACGGAGAAGTACATTTAAAAAGCATTCTCAAAACTGCAGAAAAATGAGAAAAATGAGTTATTGGGAACGTGACGAACCAAACAACACAAAAAAAAAAAATTCCTCCGTTTTAGGAAAAGGAGAAGGCAAAAAAACGCTCAAACAAACAAAGCTTTAGTATGATATAATGGCATAAACGTTCATTAATGACAATGCTGAGAGGAGAAAAAATGCTGAAAGAATGAGTTTTTAAGGAAATGCGGAACATCGTCGCCATTATTCTAGTGGAGAAGAAAATTTCGGGCCATCCGAGCTGCCATTTAGATGAAAAAGTGAGGGGTTTGAGCGGGGAGGTCATGCCTGAGGTGAAACATTCAAATACTGTGATTTTTAATTTGCTGCGAATTTAAAATTTCACTGCAGGATTAAAATTTTCATCTCTAGTCGTCGGGTCGGGTTGGCTAGCTCCAGGTTTTAGCTTTTTATTGGAGTTCAGACACAGAGCTACGTTCAAACTCTGCACAGAATAATTTCTCCTTAATTGCACGCAGGCGATTGAAATTTTAATAATGAATAGTTTGTTGTTTTATATTATTTTGATAAATGAATTAATATTTTATATTTGTTGTTAGAAGTACTTCAGTTGGGGCCTAAGATTAATTAATGATAAATTTAAGAAATAATATTTTTTAAACCATATGTCAATGTACTAGAAATTAAATATAGAACATATCTTTTATGCAAACTTATATCATTTTAAAAAGAATGAACATAAAAAATTAACTGTCTATCCTTTAAAAAATGTTTGCATATTTTAATATTATAACAATCAATTATTTGCATATAAATAGAAGAGAATATTTATCAATTTATTTCATGTTTTATTAATAATCTTCTATTATTATTATCTTATAAAGTAGATTTATCTTAAAACATTCTATATATAACTTAAAGAACAAATATTTTTGATGAAGTAAAATTTTGATAGCCCTACGTTCGACCCGTTTTGATCTGTCTAGATGTAAGGCAATCCATTAATTTTTTTTTCCTTTGAACTCTTCTGTATGTTTCTGAGAATATTTTGTATGCATGTGAGAGTCTACATATATTTTGTAATGGGTTATAGAGATCTTTTTGCATATTCTAAGTCTAGAATTTTCCCCATGAGGCGCCACGATGCTGGGGAATGTAGCACCCTGATGTTGAATTCTTTGGAATTTAGAAAATTGAACTAGCGCAATGGTGATGTGTTTGGCATTGCGGCGCTATAGACTCCTAGAGGGAGCGTTGTGGCGTTGTCAGGTTTGGAGAGATTTCTAGAGAAAGAAAGTCCATTAATTATGGCAACATCATGTCGTTTTTAGCTGTCAGCTCAATTCTGAGAATTGTCCAGATAGGATTAGGTAACATTTTCCCTATCTTGATTTTTTAAAATATGAAGTTTTCATGAATCTTCTAATTAAATTTATATTTCATAACCGAAAAATAAGGGTAACTTTACAACATCAAAACTTTTTTCTTAGAACTTTTTGTATGTTTTAGAGGCATAACCTTTGAATATTTAGATTTTTTTTTTGGAAAATTGTATACTGGATATTTTATATGTGCATCTTTTTAATTGTCTGAAAAATAATCTTGTACCTAAAAAATAATATTGTAGCTCAATTAAAATCTTAAAATAGCGTTATGCATAATCTTTGATAATTTGGTAAAATGTTGAAATAGTACACTTATGCTTGGTAGGGCTAGCTAGTTTTTATCATGGCTAGTTTTTATATGTTTTGTAATTCAGTATGCCGCCATGCACTGCATTTGTATTTACATTTTGATAAAATGAAAAATGAAATTTTTTATATAAGTTTATTTTCAATACACTAGTTGTTGTTAATAATTAAGCTCAATGTTTATTATTGCTAAAATTTGTACAAATATTCTCAATTTTTTTCAAAACATTGATCTTAGGATTCACCTGTCACGAGTCAACATGATAGGATATGTCTGGTCTGTGGATTTTATCGGCTAGGGTTGTGATACAAAGAGCCTTTTTTACAGCCCTAGCTTCAAAAAATAATGAAGAAAATTTACAGGAAACAACATAAATAGTATATGCAACTTTGTTTCATTTCATTATCAAGTTTGCAATCCTATAAAATAACTAAACTATTTTTAGGAAACCAATTACAAAGATCAATTCCTTATAACACAATTAAACATTTATTTCATCTCAAACATGGCTCAATAACCAAATTTCAATTGATCTACAAAATTTCAAACATCAGGCTTATGTTGACACATTTTTATTAATGATAGAAACCTCTTATCTATTTTTTATTAAATAGGAGAAAAATTTTACATATTTTAATAAGAGTTACTCTAAAGGATCAAGAAATCTTTGATACATATATTTTAAGAAGCATCACAGATATATAGGAATGCATACTTAATATAATAACCAAATGGAACTCATACACGTACTGTAAATTTCCAAGGATGAAGAAGCTATATATGTAAGAAGTAGTGATAGAAGTATATAACCTATAATTTTACGATTAGCATATCACAAAGACTTTATTCACTTTGATATTAGTCTCGTAATTATAATAAACTATAGAAAGTATCATAGTTCTTCATCACAGCTCAAACTATATAGGCTTTCAGACGATCTGCTCCGCTCGTAATTCGCTTGAGTTGTGGCCTTGTTTCTTGTCACTGAAACATTCTTCCACAATCATATTAATATCAACCTCAGGTCCCACTTTATCAGCCCTGCGATCTTTATGAACCTCTTCTTTGCCCCTATAGATGAAGTAGAGAAGCAGCTGCACAAATCCAAAAGTAACACCCAGTATGTTTGGCAGCTGCATGCATTTTCACCCATAAATGGAGTCAAGTTATGTGCATAATTATATCTCTAACTTAGCCTTCGTTTGGGACGGCTTTCTTATTGCTTCTTAAAGCTGCTTTCTAGTATAAAAATTAAAACTTTTGTATTATAAAGTTGTTTTAAGAATCAGTCAAAAAGCTGTCCCAAGCGAAACCTTAGACTTCATTTTGGACAGCTTTCTTATTGCTTTATGAAACAGTTTCTTAATATATTTTTTTTTGTAAAAGAAGAAGATTCATAGAGCAGTAAGAAAGCTGTTCCAAACGAAATCTTATTGTATGCTTCAAATTAATGCACAAAGAGAAGTAACTACCAGGAGAAATATATCATTGGAAAGCAAACCATAGAAGAGCCATGAAATGCCTCTCAATGTGAGGAAGAGGGACAAGTTAAATGGCATGAACTCAACACTCTTAGTTTGTATAACTCGTTTCTGTATATACCCAAAACAACGACACAAATTATTAGAAGAATCTGATTTATAACTGAGACTTCATTTGAGACTGGCTTCCTCCTTGCTTTCTAAAACAACTTTTTAATACAAAAATTGTTTGAATTTAAAATTTTTGTATTAGAAAGCAGTGCAAAAGTCGTCCCAAACGAAACCTAAACGTGCTGATGGATTCCTGTTTTCACTCACCATGCTACTTAAAGGAGCGGCAAAAACGCAAACAGCAAAGGCCACACAGATCCAACCGAGAACTTGCAAGCGAGAAGAGCCTCTAAATAAGAGAAGGGTGATGAGAACAATCATCGGAAAAACTCCAACGATCAAAATGAGGATCAACTTTGCTGTGTAAATCTGCATGCAGTTTGCAGTATTTAACGTTATAAACAGTTTAAGATTGTAGGTTTTTAATTAGATGGAATGAATATACGCATACGCGAGCTTTTCTTGCAGCAAAGATTAGGAAAATGGTGATGTAAAAGATTTCGATAATGCACCCGATTGAATTAACGATTATAAGGAGGAGCTCATTTGTTTTGATGAAAGCATAGTAAAGCCATAGCATTGCACTGAAAAGAGCAATAATATACGGTTCCGATTTGAACTCTTCAGTTGATTTCTTCTGCAGGATTCGATAAAATATAGGCCTGCAGGTTATAATGAAAAATCGAATCAATTAGAGAAAGAATAAGAAACCAAACATAAAAAACTCCATCGCCCTGCGCCCCCTTGTGCGATTTTTAGGGTTTCCTTCGTGCCTCCTTTGTGCTTCGTTTCGCTGCTGCTCTCCTCATTTTTTCTCTGGGTCACTTAGGGGCTGTTTGGCAACAAGTTGGATTTAACTTTAGTGGGATTTAATAAATCCTGTAAATCCAGATTTAATAAATCCGAAATGTGTTAAATCCTAAAAACTGTTTGGTATGTTAAATGTTAAATCTTGTTAAATCCTGAGAAACTATTTGGCAACATATATTAGGATTTATGGCGGTTAAGGATTTAAGTTTAAAGGAGATATTTATGAAATTAAGATCATTGCATAAACATAATAAAATCAATTTTAGGTCATATAAAATGACCAAAAATTTAATAAAAAGTTAATTACAAACTAACATGGATCAAAATGAGAGTTGAAATATTTCGAGCTCGAACACGAGTTCGAGCTCGAACGCTAAACGAGCTCAGACACTGGGCTGATCGACTCGTTGGCTTGTCGAGTAGCTTGGGTCGGGAGCCAGTCGCGTCGCATCTGCGGGAGGCTGGGAGCGGAAGCGCGACAGCGAGCAGGCGCAGGCGCGTGCGCGGGAGCGGGTTGCGCCGCGTCTGCGGGAGCGAGTGTGAGAGCGCCCGATTGCGGGAGGCTGGAGCGCGTCTGGGAGCGGGATAGTGAAGATCGGGATTCGCGTACGAGGCTTCCGCTCGACGAGCCGCTCGACTCGACTCGTTTCGTGAGATGAGTCGAGCTCGAGCTCGGTATTTGGCTGTAAAATTCGACTCGAACACCCCCTGGCTCGAGATCGACTCGACTCATTTGCACCCCTAGTGTAGATTGTTATTCATATAGGTCTCGATGGACATCTACCATACTTTTGCAAGTTTCAAGAGTGGATAACTCTCAAGATATATCATATATGTATATGATTGAGTGTGCTCTTTGTACTTGATATTTAATGAATAAAAATATGTTATTTTAAGGAAAGTGGTAGCTGATGTAGAGATCTCTTTTTTGATAAAATGATTGTAATTTTGATATATGAAAGTTCGAATCAATTTAGGGTTTAATGAGATAGTTAAAAAATCTATTAATATAAGATTACATTTTTTTTTAGTTAAATATGATTTGATTACTAGCATATATATATCTACCCTAATTTTTATCCTCTTTTGAATTATAAAATTATTATCTCCACTTAAAAAAATAATAATAATTAACCACTGTGCAACAACTGCCCTTTTCTTTCAAGAAATTCAAAGCATAATCCCCAACATCTTCCTTTGATTAGTGTATTCTTTGTGTCTTTCTTTTCATAACTTCTTTAACTCCTATAATAAGATATTATAAAAGAGAAATTAAAGCAGCTTTAGGGAAAGATTAAAGAAAAGAAATACTAATCACCTTCTTACCATGTATGAGGAGCTTTTCATTTTCATGTAGCAGCTCTAGTGCTATTAAATGAGAAAGAAAATTTAATAGAGAAAAGAAAGCTAGGCCCATATTTTTAGCTAGTTTTATGCTATTAACTCATGCGTATACTTATATATACATCTCTCTAATTTGTGATATGTAGAAATTATTATGTGTGGATTCTAGGCTCCATGAATATATGATGTATGGACTAATATATTACTAGGTATTACTGTGAATTGGTGTGTATTAACTATGTACATTGCTTAGTATTAGCTAGTACACAGTAATACACAACAAATACACACCAATACACAGCTAGTACATAGCAATATACAGTAATACCTAGTAATACACAAGTCCACGCATCATATTTTTATTGGAGTTTGAACATACCTCTACGTCCAATGTCCGAACGTAATAATTTCTCCTCAAAGTAGAGCTAAAGCTCACAACTAATGAGTCAGGGCGCACTTTACCTAGAATCCCAAAAGTGAGAACCCACGAGTGATCAACTGATACCCACGCCATTAATCACTCACAAAGTATTATAACACAACAAATGCTTCAATGCGTCTGCAATAAATAGTATAACGTATTAATAAAAGAAGAGAGATCGACTAAGAGCTTAGCTAGCAAGGTTAGCAAAGAGCAGCACACTTCCTCTTCTCCTCATCACCCTCTGAAAGCTAACAAGGCATGCAATCCACTTCAGAATGCTCAGCACTATATAGCAAGAAAGATCCTGATAATATTCCATGAAGATATTAATGGAGGGCTCAGTACATTTTACAAGAGCATCTTTAATATCTTCCTTACTGAGGTGGTCAGATATTTAGACTGTCTTTATTGTTCTGATTTACTTGTTAACAGATGCTTCGTTGATTTGCTGTACTATATTTTTTTTTTAATGTTAGAGCATTCGCTTTTTCAACAGTAAACTTTGCCTGACAATGCATCGCACGCAATTAAAATTTTAATAAGGAATAGTGTGTTGTTTTTTTTTATTTTTTTAATAAATGGATTAATATTTTATATTTGTTGTTAGAACTTAGAAGTACTTCTGTGTTAACGATAAAATTAAGAAATATTTTTTTAATCAAATGCCAACCTGCCAGAATTGAATAAAGAAAATTTTTTTAATGCAAACTTGTATCATTTTAAAAAGAATGAACATAAAAAAAATTAATAATGTTAATCCTTTAAATAATATTTGCATATTTTAATATTTTAACAATCAATTAATTATATATACATTGATATGTCATCAAAAAATTATCTTGATCGGGCACGAATCTCGAGGCAAAAATCAAGTTGGAAACTTCAAAAATTAAATTTGGGATCACCTGAACTTCGATTTCAGCAAACTTATAGTCAAATTGAGCGTCTCGGAAATACGAACCCAACGACACCAAATTCGACTCAATCCGAGCCCAAATGAGTCCAAACCAAGGCCCCGAAGCCCTGTTGGAAAGTTCAAACCACAATTTGAGTTATCAAAAGGTTTTCAAACATGACAAGCTTATAATTTAATTGAGTGATTAGATGAGACAATCCAACGAGCCTAAGATCACCAAATTCAGAAATCATTTAGACCTCCAAATGTCTGACGAACGGTCTATGATCAAAGGATTCAATATCGACCGTCTATTCAACCACTCCATATTTACCCATGATCTCTCACATATTTATGGGCCATGCCACTCCAGAAAATCCATAAATAGACCCCTCATTTCTCTTGAAAGGGGATCCAAGGAAGAAGAGAAGAAGAAGCTCCTCCTCGACCACCGCTGGAGTTTTGCCGGACCAACGCCAGAGTTTTGCCGGACAACCGCCGGAGTCTCATCGGACCACCGCCAAAGTTTCGCCGGACCACCACGTGAGGCACTCACCTTCGCCGGACCACCGTCAGAGGCCCTCACCTTCGTCGTACCACAGTCGTCGGAGGCCCTCACCTTCGTCGGACCACCTCTGGAGGTCCTCACCTTCGC